ATATGAATGTGTTTCGCATAACTTTCGGCGAGTTTCCCTTTTCTTTGTGGCGCGAGTTCTGGGACACCCTGTATATTAGAAAAATTAATAATATGAAACACTAAAATCAATAATATGAAACACTAAAATCAAAAACTGCGACAATTCTCATCAGGAAATTCTTAAAGAATGTACTCAGAAAATCTCCACTGAAACAGATTTTTGAGATAACTTCGGAAACATTAAAAATGAGCAATGTGTAATTAAAAAAATAATAAAGATAAGTCAGGGAAAAAGCTTTTACGAATGTGTAATGAACAGTGTTTATGAATCCAACCCTGGAACATTTTTGGAGACATGAAAAACAATTTAATGTTGTTTACTTATTTGTAAGTATTGTGTGGCAAGGTTTACAGTCCCACGAGTTAGCGGTAAATTTACCATGCTCATCCACAACGCTGATTGATATGCAGAGACGAAAGACCAAACGAAGCGCTGTTATGCATGACGAGTAGGCACAATAAAACGTCAAACCGGACAGCAAACGTCTGAAATTTTAAAGCATGCTTTGTCTATAAAATTTGCATTTAAACCATTATTTGCACGTCAACCAAAGCCATGATATATCTGAGGATTCTTTCAATAAAGCAAGACGTCAAAAAATATACAGGGATTTAAGTCTGCGCCATCAGAATGTAAACTGTTCAGAATCTTAATCAAAACAATTCCTGAACAATGCAGAAAATTTGGTTAGATCATTTTCCAGGGGGGTATTTCCGCGAAACCTTACCCAAAAAATCAGATATGTTATTTAACAAAACAAAAATTATATCTGAAGTCAAATAGTTTAATTTATGAACTTAAAATATTCCTACATTGAGATGCTAAGAGGCTAGCTTTAAGAAGAAACACAAAAGAGTTTAATAAATACTCGAGAAAAAATTCAAATGTGGCACCCGTTACATTTTGAGAAAATTTGTTAAAATAAAAAAATAACAATATTTGTGCATTTACGCGCCCGTTACGCGATTCATGACGTTATAAAAGGTTTTCTATACAAGCTTTTAATGACATTTTGGTTGAGATAAATATCTAATTTTTTATACTATGTTTGTATATTAACGTATCTTGATATATATGAACAAACACTTTATTATCATAAAAAAACGTGTCAGTGTCGCACCCGTTACAATGGAAACACCCAGGGGCGACTATGATGTTTTTGAGATTTCAACTACCTCGATTGGTTGAAATCACAGGAAATAATGAAATCGGCCAATAACTCATGCATAACAATAATGAGTTTATTATTCCCGTTGCTGGCCCCGCCTATAATGGTTATCATTATATAGGAGTAGAACAAATGTTTTATAATATAACTATTTAATTTTTAATTTGTTTTTATAATTATATTTTATTAATTCTGTTTTTTTCTTTTCAGGTATGTGCTTGTCTAATTTAGAAAATCTCCCTATGAGTCGCGTGAGTTGTTAAAACATTTAACTTAATTTAATATTATTTTAAACAGCAATCTCCTAAAAATTTATGAGTCATAAAAAATATTAATTTTAATTCAACATGCAAACAATATAAAGAAGAGCCTGAAAAAGGTTTCTTTTTTATTTCAAATAATACATGTATTATAAGTGTTTATTATTATTTAAATGTATGGTTTTACGAAAAAATCGCTTAGGGCCTTTTTTGTAAAGCGTAAAATTTCCTACAAAAATATGTCTTCTATATTGTTGTCTGTTAATTAGCGAGTTATGAATATTTTTTTATGTCATTAAAACGTCATTTAGTTAATTTGGTTAAACGACTTCGGAATTTTTTTAAATTGCTTAAACTGTAAATAAATAGTTTACTTTCTCAAAATGGCTGCTTTTTCACTTATACCATGGTTAACCAAGGGATACCATGGTACATTTAACAGCCAATTCTTATGTAAAATTGAATTGAAATTGGAGCAGTTTTCGAGATAGTTAATTCCATATTTTATGGAAAATTGACTATATATTTGCTATATCTATATAACTTTTGACGACATTTTCGGATTAAGGGGACAATTTTACATGAAACTTGCTATTAACGAAAATTATTAGTGGCTGCTTTTTTTGCTGACAATGAGTCATTTTTGACAAATTTAAAATTCAAATCCACGGGGGTAAATTTGGACACTCCAAAATTTAGATATAATCCCGGTGCATTCGCCATTTTTGAAAATATTTAACTGCTGAAAGGATTTTGATCAAATTACACAGGCCAACAGCTATTTTGGTGCCGGGGTATTTGGAGCTGATTTTTTTATAAATTTGGTATCAAAGCATATGCTCCCAATTCAAATATTGAATTAGTTTTTGCCTATCAGCTCAAACTTCTGAAATATCTCAAATTTAGTGAAATATAAGTTACACATGTTTTCTTGAATATATTTTGGAACAGCAATAATCTGCCATCATGTGCTGATCCCATCTTCCTATGTAGCGGTTCTCCATAGTTTCAATATCCTGATAAAATCTTTCACCTTGTTCCTCTCTCATGTCTCCTAAATTTTCAGGAAAACAATCCAAGTGCCTGTGTAAATAGTGGGATTTGAAACTTTTAAGCATCTCGATACCAGTTCAACATAGTTTTCAGCTTTGCGTTTTCTGAAAAAATTTCCGACAACAGTTGCAGTTACTGCAACAAATGAAGTCCAGCCTTTCGCTACTACTTACAATTAGTTAACAGATTACAGTTGGTTGTAATTTTAACATAAAGTTATGTGGACCTGGATTAACATAAAATCTGGTTCATATTTGGTTAAAATTAACAAATACTGTGTACGAGGTGTGTTAAGAAAATAACGGGAATTTTCGTTTTTAAAAATATTTATTTATTTGTCTACATTAATGTTGTCGCCTTTAAAATAGTCCCCATTAGATATTATGCACTTGTGCCAGCGCTTCTTCCAATCCTCGAAACACTTCTCAAACTCAATCTTTGGGATGGCCTTTAGTTATTTCAGCGATGCGCTTTTAATGTCATATTTCCCTGCAAAACGACGGTCCTTTAAGGTTCTTTTAATTTTTGGAAATAGAAAAAGTCACATGGGGCCATGTCTGGCGAATATGGAGGCTGGGGCATCATTATAGTATTGTTTTTGGCCAAAAATTCACGAACAAGCAATGAAGTGTGAGCAGATGCATTATCTTGGTGCAAAAGCCACGCATTTCATACCTAAAACATTTAAAAAAATATCATGGCATGAGCCAATCGAAATGCCAACATCATCAGCGACTTTTCTGATTGTGATTTGGCGATCGTTCATTACCATTTCTTCCACTTTTTTCACGTTTTTATCGGATGTTGATATGCTTGGACGTTCGGGGCGTTCGTCATCTTCAACGTCTTCACGGCCATCTTGGAAACGCTTATACCACTAGTAAACTCTTGTTTTACTCATATCATACTCACCATATGCCTTTTCACACACTTTAACTTCATGTTTTACGCAAAATTTTATACAAATTCTTTTAACGAACCTAAATCGCCGAGCTTATAAAAACTAGTCTACCCTTAGCGGCTGCCACAGACAAAGTTATCAATGAAAACAGCTAAAGTTTTTATTCTACTTTGGGGGCATGTATATCAACATAATAAAGAAAATTTTATGACAACCAGACTCTCCGAACCCGCGAAGTTTATAAATTCCCGTTATTTTCTGAATACACCTCGTATGTATGCAAACCCTATTCATACAAATTACTTATATTAGGTATAATATGTATTCGTATATCAGCATATCAGTCACAGAAAAAAATGATAGAAAGCATTTATGTTTGAATATAATATACTATATTATATATTACATATTATGTACTAATGTGAGCTCAACTTTTAACATTTGATCAACATTCTAAGAAAATATCGTGGGAGAGGTTTTAAAAATTAATACATTGAAGATATTGGTATTATTTATTGGTTAACCTATAATAATTGAAATTAATAAAAATCATGAGGGAATTATTATATACGAGCCCTAACCACATAATGTTCGGACACTTCATAATTTATACAGAAATTTTTTTCGTGAATACTATCTCAAAATTATTAGAAGTTATGAAAAATTCAGCTTATTTTGGCATATACCCCTCGAAGCGATTTTTATTTTTAAAAAGTTTACCTTTTATTTTTAGCTTTTAAAAAAAGGCTAACTTTTTAACTTTTTTTTGTATGAGTAAAAAAAGTTATAAATGGACCCATTAAAAAGAGCATAAAATATAATACAAACCCTGAAAATTTGGTAAAAAATAAATAAGTTATAAAAAAGTATAAGTAATTTAAAAATGCTATTTTTAAAGAGTTTTTGCAATTTTCTTAGGAAACGGGAGATTTTGCAGATATATATATCGCTATAACTTTCTTATTATTTATACAATTTTTACCAAATTTTCAGGGTTTGTATAATATTTTATGTTCTTTTTAATGGGCCCATTTATAACTTTTTTTACTCATGCAAAAAAAAGTTAAAAAGTTAGCCTTTTTTTAAAAGCTAAAAATAAAAGGTAAACTTTTTAAAAATAAAAATCGCTTCGAGGGGTATATGCCAAAATAAGCTGAATTTTTCATAACTTCTAATAATTTTGAGATAGTATTCACGAAAAAAATTTCTGTATAAATTATGAAGTGTCCGAACATTATGTGGTTAGGGCTCGTATATGAATGTATATTATTATAGTATTGTAAGAATTGCCTGCGAATTTTTTCTAAGCTCCAAAAAGCATTTAAAGGTAATTTTGACGAAAGTTTTTTAAAGTTCTGCAAATATTATAATAATAATATATGCAGGTACATATTAAGAAAATGTTAATAGAATCATTGAAAATTATATCAGTGTGCAACGAATTCAAATTTTTATCGCTAATATGACTTATATGTATATACCAACTATTATTATTATTATTATTACTATTATTGTTGTTGTTGCGCTTTGACAAGTAAGGACGGTACAGTACGCGTTCGGCGGAGCATATAGTGCCCGTAGCGTAGTAGCAGGTAAAGGTACGTATGGTATTGTATAGTATCCTACCGGCAACCGTAGTGGGCACTTAGTGCTCGAGGAGAATCGCTAGAGCGGACACCGAGACGCAGAGTGGAGGACAATGCCGTTCGAAAGTGGCCTCTGCAGCAGCGGCCTTACGTGAAAAATAAGTTTGACGTGAAAATTTAACGCGAAGTGCGAGTTATTCGACGGATTTATTTATTTAAAGAGTGTTCATGTGGTAAATTGTGTGTTGTGTATTTTGGATGCAGTGTTTTAAATGCGTAGGTGGGGTTACGGTAACCCAAGAGTTTGTTGCCCAATTGTTTGATGTTATCAAATTTCTTCGAAAAATACTTGAATGCTCGAATTTAAAATTATATTTTTTATACGCATTTCTTACTTTAATAGTATATTATGTAACAAGTGTCATACACGGCATCTAAGTTACTATTTTTAATTAGGCACGAGCGAAGTGTTTAATAAAACGAGCTGCATACTACTAAACAAAAATTAAATATTCTTCAAAAATAAACAAAATCTGACTTCTGTCTAACCTCATTTGAAAAATGCAACCAACTTCACTCCGTGACTAAAAAGCCCGAAAGCCACTGTTGCTAACTTTAGCCCGTGACTAATGTGCCAAACATACATACAAATGTGTGTATTATAAAGTTGAGAATAAAAAAATAATTAAAAAAGTCCAAAAATTATTAATAATCCAGTTTAAAAAACTAGTTATTAATTATTTTTTCATTGCCTTTAATTCCTTTAAATAAATACAGGGTTTCCTATAAATATGACACAATATTTATTTGAGGAGATTAAAAAATTCCACCTTGCAAAGTTTAAAAAATTATATTTTCGATAAAAATAAAATAAAATGATTTTTTTTTTAATTACTGTTAAACACCTCATATTTTGTTTATATTTAGTTTAATTTTTTATTAACTAATGAAAAAATTATGCTTTTATACCTAAAATTAAAGTAGCCATAGATGTTGTAAATTTTAAAGAAACATGTTTGTATCAATTAATTAAAAAACTTTCAATCTTTCAATAAATAAATAATTAATTATTTATATTACCAAAAGGTACGTAATTACAAGTCTATAAGAATGGTATTTAAAAATTGGAAAAAAAATCAGCGGTTCTCAAATAATTAAATAAAAAACTGAACCTACCAAATTCTGAAAATTAAAAAAGTAAGTTTTACATGTAAAATTCTAAATTTTTATCCATTTCGTAATTTTTTGATTTGATGAAAATGTAGAGAAATGTGTGTACATATATGTACATACAATTTTTTTTTTAAATTTTTGCTTGCTGACAGGTTTTTAATTTTTTTCAAATATTTTAAGACCCGCTATTTTTTTTTTAATTTTATATTATTAGGGTTGTAATTACGCAACTTGTATCTAATATAACCCACCTTGTATTTAGCTAGAGCTATAGTTTTTCAAATAAAAAAATACCCTGTATGCAATATTTTTAAAATCAATTAAATGGAACGATTTGTTTTGTTGGGTGTTTTTCGAGAGAAAATCCTGGGTTGAGTTTTTACCGTTTTCCCAATAAACACTGGAAATATGAATGAAGAAATAAATTGGATAAAGTCCCTCTAAATTTAAATTGGACATATTAGATACAACAAATACACATTTTAGTAATGATTAACGTGAAAATTGTAAACATTTTAATTCAGTAAACAAATAAGTCGTCTAAATTCAAACAGCATAATGCATTATTAAAAGCGTTGATGGAGAAAGTCTCCACTCAACGGTAAAATACCAAAAACGGGTATTGTATATATTGTGTTGGCGGCGTTTTTTAAAGGACTCAAATATAAAAATGTTTGATTTTAAGGTTATGGTTGTACAGCAATTATTTTTTGTTGGATTTATTAAAATATTTACTAAAATATAAATTAAATTAGGTAAAGGCAAAACATGAAAATGCAACGATTTAGTTCTTGATTTACATTTACAATTAAAAACACAATAATTACTTAGATAAAATACACACACGTAACTATATAAGCGTTGAGTTTCTTAGTCAATGATGTAATGAATAATAAATCGAAATCGAGTATTAAACTAAAGTTTTTTAGTTTTTACTTGCAACGCGAAACATCGTATTTTCAATAAATATCTGTCAAAAAAACACATTTTTATTTATTTTTAAAAGACTTAAATCTGATCATCCTGTATAAAAAATCTTAATGAAAAATAAATTACCGAGGAAGTCGTCTCTCTATTATGGTTAAAGGTTCACTTTCTTGCGAAATACTTATCTAACATTAAAGCAATTTTTCTTTAATGCAATGGCAAACTAATTGGTTAAATTGCGAAAAAAATACTGCCCATTAAAAAGTACCGGCGTGAAAAACGTTTTTTTTCCTCGTCCACTTCGTCTCTGCAATCGTTTTATTATGGGGAATAGAAATTTTAATTGCCCGTAATGAACTTTAGAAATGCTTTGTTAACACCAAACTCGGCTATTGTTCTCGATAATTATAACAGATCACACTATATTAATGCCAATTAAATAGTTTTTTTTTCGATTTATTGGGTTTATTGTTCTATCTTTATAGGTACCTAACATGACACAGTATCTATCGTTATTGGTTTACAACTTTGTTTTTTTTTTGTCAAAATTAAAAATAATGTGATCATGATTATTTAAATAAAATACTTGTAAAAAACAAACAAATTACAACAATAGTATATTATGTATCAAGTTTGATAAACGCTAGTGTTTAATTAAATGAGTTGCATACTACAGGGTGTTTCACATTATTGGTCCATTGGAAGTTTCTGGGAAATGGAAATTTTAAAAGCGTTTAAAATTAATTTAAGTTTATTTTTCTAAAATATTTTAGAGACATTTTGTTGTCTCTTCCGAATTAACCGGAAGTAACATCAACTTTTTATTTCCAATAGAACACCCCATATATTTTTATATTATTAAATTCTACACAAAAGTAATACCATGTCCTATACCTAAAGTGAATAGTTTTCGAGTTATTAACTTTTTCGTTAAAATTTGACAAATGCGCGTCTATCAAAAATAGCCTATAACTTTTTTGTTATTAGGTTTACGGATATGGGGGTGGAATTTTAGAAATCTTAAAACATTGTTTAAAAGATTCCATGTCAATTCTTCATAATTTTTCATCAAATTACCTAAGAAAACCCAAGAAAAATTAGGCTAACTTGAAACTTTAAAAACTTTTTTATTTTAAATGTAAAACCCAATTAAATAGTAAATTAAAAAACCTTCATGTAACTATTCCCTATATAATAATTTCAGAGATATTTAACAAGACAGTATACACTTTTTAATTATTGGCGTTGAGAAACTACTTTTTAATTTTTTTATTATATTAATTAATTATTGTATTAAGTATCTTAAGATACTTAATACAATAATTTTCACATTTAGTATTATTTTATAAAAAATACACTTTATTTTAACGATTCTATAATATTTAAATTAACAACTAACTTTAAGCTAACGTCAGCCCGCGACTAAAAACATGTTGCTAATTCAGCCCGTGACTAAAGCGCCATAAAGTCACAGCTTGTCAAAGTGCATTAGTGTTATGGAAACATGTACGATAATGGGCGTTTTAAAAGTGAGAGTAAAAAATATAATATTATGTATCAAGTTTTATAAACGCCATTTTAGCTTATTTAAGTTTATGAAACGAGTTGCATACTATACTTTATCTACGACAGAAATACGAATTTAAAGTCAATTGTAATTCATAAATATTTGACATCTGACGAATTTAACCTCACTTTTTCGCAATTTATAATAAAGCTAACTTCAGCCCGTGACTAAAATGCCCAAAAGCCACTGTTATTAACCCGTGACTAAAACGCCATAAAGTCACACCTCGTCAATGTAGGAGTAGATAAAATATTTTTTCTACTTCCACCTTTAAAACGGCCATTATCGTACATGTTTCCATGACACTATAGTGTCACTTATAAGTGACCTTTTAAATACACATTGACAAGTTGTGGCTTTACGGCCTTTTAGTCCCGGGCTGAAGTTAGTTGACAGTTGTCAAATGTCATACAATCGTTAAAATAAAGTGCCTTAAAATAATACTAAATGTGAAAATTATTTTATTACCTCAATACAAAAATACAAAAGTATTAAATAGTTTCTCAACGCCAATATTTGAAAAGTTTATATGAACTGACCTTTTAGTTTCGCCGGCAGTAAACTATAACTTAAATTCGAGCATGGACTCCAATGTACATTTTCTTTACTTTCACTGTAAAAAACTGTCCATTTTGAAGAAATACATTTCGATTTATAACCTTTATAATCTGTGTTTATAAAATATAAAAATTTGACATTTGACGATGACACACAGATTCCCCTATTGTTTCATAGATGGCGCTCTATAAAAATATTTGATTTAAATCATTTTAATATAATAATAAGTATTTGTCGTAGAAAAAGTATAGTATGCACCTCGTTTATAAACTTTTCTATACACTCATTAATTTAAGATCGCTCGCAAGCTCGCTTGTACCTAAATTAAATTCGTGTATAAAATGGCGTTTATCAAACTTACATATACATAATATACTATTACTTTTACATAATGTAACAAAATGTTTTACTGTATTGACTTCGAGTTATTTTTGTCCAATTAATACATTTGCCACTGAATTTGGCAAGAGAAAAAGTAGAGAAAACAACAAGAATTAATATTTACTTAATTACATAAGCATTATGATAATCGTAAATATTTTGGCAAGCTATTAAACAAAGCATTAAATTAAAATCATGAGAAATGGGTCAAAACATATATGTATAAGTATACTTTCCCTACTTAAACAGCTACCTGCCACACCGCACGTGTTGGAGACCAAAATTGGCCACCGAGAAGTTGCAATTTAACCCATATGGACATTTTTTAAATTCAAAATGCAAGTCCTTAATGGGACGTGCTAAATAATTAAAAAGTAAACGAACTATAGCTATTAATATTCTAAAATGAGCAATTACCTATGAAGTAAGCAGATATGCAATTAAAATCAAATCATAGTTATGTTCAGACGTGGGCACGTTTTAATTACTATTAGCAATAAGGCATTATATATGTTGACTTGAATTTGTCGCCAGTATAAAACTTCATTTGAAAATGTAATTGTCAATTTGTTGTTTGTTACGTAACGACGATAATTGCGCAACAAAAATTTAATGTGCAGGACGAGGTGTCGTGTTTATTGGGCAAATTATAAAATTACTTTTGCTAATT